GATATGAATCAACTCGAGCCTTTGAATTATTTTCTATTCTTAAGTGCGTAAGTTACGTAATATATTGTCTATGTGCCTATTATACGTGTAATGTTCTATTTGTGTCCGTTCTCTTTTTAATTTTGTTTCGGGTTCTTGGCGGTGTTTCTTGGGTTACCTTTGTTGGAGAAGTTGATTATCTTTTGAGATTGTTTCCCCCATTTTATCAAAAAAAATCCAAAAAAAAAAGATAATTTAAAAAACCAAAAAATATTTACTCTTTATTCAAACCCCCCCCCCCTTTTGTGTTTTAAGTTATAAATATAAGTTTTTATATATTTTTTAGTATATCTTAAGTATATGTTTTATGTTTATAAGTTATATTATAAGTTCTTTGTTTATATAAGTTATATTTATATGTTTTTAGTTATAAGTTTTATTATAAGTTTTATAAGTTCTTAGTTTTTTTTTATTTTATTTCGTGACAATGTGTGTGCATGCTTAAATGATTTCAAAAGTACAAACTTTCTCCGTGGGATCGACCGTTACTTGCCCTAGCTATAGTCTTTATTTGATTATATATTGGGGGTTAGCTAAGGATATTTTATAAATTTTTAATTTGTTTTGGACCGCACGACAAGTCCACAACAAATTTTGGTGCCGTTGCCGGGGAAAGTTTAATTTGTATAAAATTAGTTTAGGATGTGCTTTTTGTGTTTGTTTGAGAATGCAGGTTGTAAAAGCAAGCCTCAAATTTTTTGTGCGAAGTTACTTCACATGTTAAAGTCATAGCATTGAAGTTATGTGTGGTTTGTATGCTAGAACAAATTGAAATCAGTATCTGTGCTTGAATTCATTGCTGAAAATTGTGTTCCATATGTTGTTTTTGTGAGATTTTTGGCCAATTTTTCATGAAAATATCATTTTGAGACCTTTTCTGCATTCTTTATCTTCTGATTTCTGGTGCTATTGATCATATATGTTTCTTTTCATTAACACAAGTGTTGCTCTGGCCTTTGGTTATTAATTCGATGGATGCAACGTGTGTGAACTGATTTTATTTCAATGATGCATGCTGTTTTTTTTTAAAAAAAAAAATCGTTCCTTAAATATGCATTTGGATTGAAGTAAGCATATATGTTTCAGCTGATTTTGATTGCATTAGGTGCTGCAAAACTCTTTTATGATGTTTTTTAAGAGAAAAAATCTGCACTTTTTGGGTGATTTGCAAGTTGAGTTGATGTTGGTTAAAGTGCTCAATTTCTTAAAACTTCTTTAGGAACTGAATTTAAAGCTATAACATGATGTCAAAAGTCTTATTCTTGAGTATTTGATGCTACATTTGCTTAAAAATCTGATTTATACATGCTGATTTTTTTTTGAAGAAAGTGCACTTTTGACTTTGTTTTCATGCTGTTTTTGTCCTTGGAGTGCTTATTTGCTTCAAATATGAACTATATATGATATATCTTGCTTGGGGACAATATCTAGAAGCATATCATGATGTTTATATGCTGATTTTTGAGGTTTAGAAGCTGAATTTGCTAAAATTCAGACCTATACTGCTGTTTTTGTGGAAAAATCTGCAACATTTTTGCTTGATTAATAATCTGAATTTTTGTTCCTAAGGTGCATATATGCTGATTTTTGGAGTTTAATTGTTAAAACTTGCATAGGAACTGATTCGAAGGCACATAGCATGACTTTACATTCATATTTTGACGCATACATGCTGAATTTTGTACTAGAAGGGCTAAAGGATCAAGAAAATCTGATTTTTCAAATTTGCTTTAGCTTCATATGTTGCATACTTGAATCTGATTTTTAGTTTTTAAATGACCATCTAGTGATAATCTTGGTGTAGAAACTGCCAACTAAAGCTGAAATTTGAGAGCATATATAGATTTTTAATCTTTATTTGTTTTAAAGAAACATATTTACTTTACTACTTCATGGCTTAAGTGAATATGTATTGGCAAGTAGTAAGCTTTGTCTAGCCAAAGACGTTAAATTGGGCGGCTTCTGGGAGACAACCCATTTACTTTTTTTAAAGCATTTTTATTTATTTATTTATTTTTATGTAAGTTCTTTTTATTTTCTTACTTCTAGTAATTGTTGTACTTTTTTTTTCTTCTTCTCTTATAGTTGTTGATTGCATTTTTTTTTCCTTTTTAATTTTTTTTAACATAACCCACTTACTTTTATAGCGTTTTTAATTTTTCTTTAAGTTCCTTATGCTTACTACTAACTTTAACCTGTTGTTGTACTTAATTTTTTCCCCCCTTGTAATGGTTAATTTGGTTTTTATTCTCTTTCTTTTAATAACTAACTTACTTTTCTTGTAATTGTTTTTCCAAATCGATCTAGTTGTACTTATTGTAATTATAGGAATATTTTTTTTCTCTCTTTCATTTAGTTTTTTTTAATGTATAAAATAAAAAAAAAGTGATCTTGTTGAGCTTAATTGTTTATTTTTACTTTACCTGTGCTTCTAACCATCTACTTTGAGAGATTTTTGCAAGATTTGTTAAGTTTTAGGTGGAAGCATGGTGTTTGGAGTAAAAATCTGCACATTATGGTGCAAAAAAAAAATTGTTTTAAAACAGGGGCTCGAAGTGCTCGGGTGTTGGTATGCCATTAAATTTCAATTTTCTTAAGCCTTCTGTGTTTATATTTGATCATTTATGAGATGAAAATTGAAAAATTCTGCACTTTTAAGGCTGATTTTTGAGTACCAATGGAAAAATTCTGCACTTCTCAATTTGATTTTTGGGCTATAAACTGAAAATATGCACCTTGTAAGCTTGTTTTTTTGAGTGCAGAATGAAAATTCTACACTTTTCACAGCTTATATGTGCTAAATTAGAAAAAATCTGCATTATTTGAAATCTGATTTTTTGTTCTTCAATGCTAAAAAAACTTGGTTTTAGCCTTGTCTTTGCAGATTTTAGGTCCATCGAGAACTTAAAGGAGGGAAAAATAATGAAATGATGCCGCGTATACTTTTTTAAATTATCATTCCCATTCCATTCTTTTGGTTGTTGCGTTACTCCCCGTCCTCTTCTCTCTTAGCTTATTCTCTTGGTTATATTGTTGTTTTCTCATTTGCATATCATTTAGATGCATCGAGGACTATGCATAGTTTAAGTGTGGGGAGAGGTTCTCATGTTTATTCCGTTGTTTGGGGGAGTATATTTTTGGGCAATTTTTTTTTTTCAAAAAAATAAGTTTTGGGTCCAAATATTTTTGTCATTCTTAATTGCATATCTCCTTATTTAGAGCATTGTTTTTAAACAATGACCCAAAAACTTCATTGTTTTCCTTAGGGCTTTATTCTGAAAGATAACAAATGCATGCTTTATAAACCCGCATTGAGTCTTATGCTCTTTTCCTTGGTAAAATGACCTTCAAAAAGTTTGAAATCCTTCTAGGTTTCCTTTAGATTTTTGTTTTTTTCTAGAATTGGTCATCCACATATTATCTAGATGTTGTTTTAATCACTTTGCTTGATATTAAACTGTGAAAAAAAGAACCGGTTTTAGGAATATTTTGTTTTTAGAAAATTGTTCATTTTTAGGCTTAATTTTGTTGAATTTTGCTACCGTTGCCATTGAGCCGTTTGAAGCATAGGATTCCCTTAAGAAACTTTTTTGTGGCAACTTTAGAGCATTTTTTTTAGAACCTGAATAATCCATATTTTAGATCTCCATCTTTATAGGATTTGTAGCTCACTTTGTTTTCAAAATACTATGGGCATAAAGTTTTAAGTGTGGGGGTATAAGGTGCATTTTTGTTTTTCTTGATGATGATAAAAAGAAATAATATATTCTTTTTGGTCCTTTGAACGAGGACGTTCAAGTCTTAAGTGTGGGGGTATTTGATAAGTCGATTTTGGGTTAGTACTTTTTATTTAATTTTAGGCATTTTTAATATTTTTAGTGTTTAATTTTTAGCTGTTTAGCTTAGTTTTATTTTAATTTCTATTTTTACAATCTTTTATTTTTCTTTCATAAATAGTAGTTTTTTAATCACTTTTTTACATTCTATTATTTTTATTTTATTTTTCCTAACCCAGGTTATCAGATATCTTATTTTTGGAGAAAAGTATAGCAAAAAGGCCAAAGTGCAGTTCAAGTTTGAAAAGAATAGATTGATTTTGGGCCGGAGCCCAAACCCAACTTTAATGAAATTAGCCCAACCACTCCATTTCCAATCTCAGGCACCAGGAAAAGAAAGAAAAGGAGTCTACGACTCCTTCGTCGTCGTCAACGGAACTAGCATAAACCGGCGAAGCATTCAACACTCCAACGTTCGGCTCCATCAATTTCGTCACAATCAATTGCCAACGGGAAGAAAAGCTTTGCCTATAAATTGAGCACAGAATCATCAGATGGAGGGGGGAACAACGAGAGGGGAACATCAACGGGAATAAAGCAGCGGCTTGGCCGCTGCTATGGAGGCGACCGGCGAGGCGGTGGCCGGCGGTGGCTGCAGCTCCGGCCAGATATGGGCGGCGATCTCCAACTCCGTTCAAGCTCCAATTTCTTCAATTAATTCATCTTCTTCAACAATTGGTAACCCTTATTTGTCAATTTCTTTTTCTTCTCCATTTCATTGTAAAAATGTTGTTTCAATTGAAGTTTACATTTTTTTTGCTTGTTGTGTTAATTTCGAAAATTCCAAAATGNATAGAGTGATTGTTTATGTTTTGGTGTTTTTGTTTGTTATTTTCATAAAAATTGGGATTGTTTAAGCGCAATAAACAACTCTTGATTTAATGAAAATATGTAATGTTCTTTTATGTGAATAGATTACAATTCTTATGATTGAGTAGTTCAAGGAGACCTGCAAAATATTTTCATCATTAGACGTTAAAGTTTATTAAAGTGTATCAAATGTTCTTCATGAATACTTTGTGCATGGGAGTTAGAATGAAAGAAAGATTTGCTCTTTTATAAACTTTTTCATCTTTTGGAATCGTTGTTTGAGCGCTTGAGGTGAGTGGGGGTTCAAAGTAACCAAAAGGCCTTTGAATCTTTGACTCCGGGCCTTATAGAGAGTTGGCGATCCTCTATATGTGGTCAAGGATATGAATCAACTCGAGCCTTTGAATTATTTTCTATTCTTAAGTGCGTAAGTTACGTAATATATTGTCTACGTGCCTATTATACGTGTAATGTTCTATTTGTGTCCGTTCTCTTTTTAATTTTGTTTCGGGTTCTTGGCGGTGTTTCTTGGGTTACCTTTGTTGGAGAAGTTGATTATCTTTTGAGATTGTTTCCCCCATTTTATCAAAAAAAATCCAAAAAAAAAAAGATAATTTAAAAAACCAAAAAATATTTACTCTTTATTCAAACCCCCCCCCCTTTTGTGTTTTAAGTTATAAATATAAGTTTTTATATATTTTTTAGTATATCTTAAGTATATGTTTTATGTTTATAAGTTATATTATAAGTTCTTTGTTTATATAAGTTATATTTATATGTTTTTAGTTATAAGTTTTATAAGTTCTTATCATATGTGTAGTTTTTTTTTATTTTATTTCGTGACAATGTGTGTGCATGCTTAAATGATTTCAAAAGTACAAACTTTCTCCGTGGGATCGACCGTTACTTGCCCTAGCTATAGTCTTTATTTGATTATATATTGGGGGTTAGCTAAGGATATTTTATAAATTTTTAATTTGTTTTGGACCGCACGACAAGTCCACAACACTTCCCAATGGGTCACCCATCCTGGAACTACTCTCGTTCCAGCACGCTTAACTACAGAGTTCTGAAGTTAAAGAGGTGCCAAATACTTCCTAAAACCAATTGGTGATAAGAAGGTGGACACTTTGTATTTAACCACATCTCTCTGTAGCCCCAAGCCGAGGTAGATTCCTATAGGGCACCCCTATAGTTCACTACGGCAGTGCGGAGCCCCACTACTGAGCGGTGGATGGACATGAGGGGCTTCGCAAGATACACGACTCGTGTACCTCGTTAGATTGGGCTGTCAGTACCCGATACCGTGACTAGCACAGTAACGAATCCCTAAGGGTGATCGATGGTCCCCCCATAAGACCAACAAATATCCAATATAAAAACAAAATAAAATATAACCTTTTCTACTCATGTTACTTTTTTCGTATCCACACCATTGTTATTTTCTTTTATTTTTAATATCATTACTACAGAGTACAATTTTATGGGAAAATTATTTTTTAATTTACATGACTGTAAATGATGTTCTTAAAATTAGGAATATTTAAATAATCGAAATTGATCTGGAAAAAATATCAATACTCTAAATTAAAAATTAATAAGTATATCACTCTCTCTATCCCTAATTAAATGGCACATTATTTACGTGGTCAAATTTTTATTCACTTTCTTTACTAATTATTTATGATAGTTATAATAATAATAATATTAATATTAATACAAAAACAATTATAACAATTATAATAAGAATGACATGTAAAGTACATTTAAATAACTTTTCGAAATTCCGTCTAAATTTTTTCATTATTTTTTAGTTTTTTTTTGTTTCTTCCAATTTTCTTACTTTCTTCCCATTTCTTCTTACATCCAACTCTTGTTTTCAACCTCAAAGACCATAAATGGTGTAATGGGCGTTTAAGAACAAAGGCACCGCCTGCACCAACTTCTCTCTCCTTACTCCAACCAATCACATCTTTAGATCTCACTTCTATCAATCTATGATTAAAGTCTAATTTACTTCTTCTCACGTCTGGCCGGTCTGAAGATGTTCTCGGGGATGCGGTCCTTTTTTTAAAATCTCACTTCTCTCACATTTCATTTAATTGAAAATTAAAAATATTAATAATTGTATGATTTTATGCAATATACAGCTATTCTATCATGGAAACTCTTGATGAGGTGGCTACCACATAACGCTCCTCACTTTTCGTGTGTCTCCATTCTTTAATTTTCAATATCAATTCTCTGAGAAGTAAACAGATATGTTGGATACTGAACGTATATGTTATAATATGTCTGAATATGTGTTTTGTATTAATTTCTCAAATCATATGTTCATTTTCTTTTCCATTATTAGAAATTTTCCAGACCTTGTTTGAAGATCACATTTTGGATTAGCATAAATGTTTTGAATAAAATTTTAATGGTTTAAATTAATTCTGAAAAAATTAACATTAAATTTTATTGTCAAAGAGCATTTTCAAAATGATAAGACTAACCGTGGGTGCTAGCCCAAGTCAAGTCCAAGCTAATAACGTTCCATTTGTCCCAAAATAATCTTCTTCATAAAAAGAAGAAAGATTTCTGAGTTTGAAGGTATTAGAAATGTACCTAACGCCTATACGCACTATCCTCTTAACGTCATAGGGCATTAAACACTGTCCCGTGTGTGTGTTCTCATGTGCCAC